AGCGCCATTAGCGCCAAGTCATATTTAAATAAATTATCTACCTAATAATATGATAGTGTGTGTATGCGAAAACAAAATAATTGAAACTTCCAACAACCGAAAGCAGATAAATATGAAAATGACGATCTCATCACGAGACTTTGGTGCGAAATGAAAGGCGTTAAAATGAAACAGTCTTTATTAGAGGAATGCGAGAAGCTCGATTTGGCCGCAAACAGATTAGAGGCTCTTTTCCACGAAGGCGCTCCGAGGAAGTAATTGCCTACACGCCGGGCGAGCGGAAATGGGACGCGCCGCGTAAGCTCGTTCCGCTTTTTCGCCTCTGTAAGACGATCTACTTCCACCTGCCCGAGTTACCTGCCTTCGACCTCCTGACCCCGGCAAGTTAATGAAACTTAGCTCAAGTTATAACATCGATGATGGTAGCAGCAATTTTATGTTAACTTTGAGCAACAAAATAAACTCTCACATGTTATTTAATCAACGCAAAAATTTATTTATGTCGTCACATTAATTTTTGGAAGTCCGAGGAAGTTTGTTTCCCCGCCGCGTGGATTTTTCTAATAACTAAAAGGAGCGCATTTCCGCGGAGCGGTTACAGCGCGTGTTAAAGAAAACCGCAAGAGTAAATGCAACGATCTCGTTTACGTGGAAAATTATGGTTTTAAGAGATTGTTGGTCGCAAAGTTGGTACGCCTGTAATTGTTTTAAAGTACATGGCAACAAGCGCGGTCACGTATATACACCACGTTTAAAACCGTAATCTTAAGCGGCTTTGAAGCGAAATGGTTATGAAGGCGCGGGCGTACAGCGTAAATTTCCCTTCTTTCGTTGTCTTACACCGAAATACGTTCGATCGACCCACTAACCTTCTCAGATTTCCCTGAGGACTGTTACGTTGCACTTAGCGGAAAGAGATCTTGGGATAAGTTGTGATTTTTTTTTATTACCGTGGCAAAAGAAACGAGGTTTACTATTCACAGATACAAGCGAAATTGAAATCATCAATTGTGTGAATCTCAAAAAGCACTCTCAAAAAGCTCATCATTACATTGCGTCGAAATATGATTCGAATTTTAACGCCGAGATGCACTAAAATTAAAAAGCTACATATGGAATTTAACACGTATACATATACTCATGCGCGCGCGCGCGCGCGCACACACACATACATACACGCCACGCGTAAAAGCGTGAAATTGCGTAAAATTTCGACAACATTCGCTAACATTTTTTACAGGTGTCGCTTCGCAGTCGCATTATCCGGATTTACGTATTATTTGTACGAGTACTTTTGGCGTTTCAACAATAATCGTCAGGACGCCACAAGATTTTATCTTCGGTTTTATTTAATAGTCACCATATGTGAAAAAAAGTTGCAACAGTTATTAAAAACGTTATTTCGATATGACCAACAATATTTTCACGAAAAACACAAAAATTATTTTCCACAATAAACTATAAATGAAAAAATAGTGATGTAACTTTTAAGCATTGATATAGAGTGTATACACTATAAAATGCATTTCAATTTATTGATCTAGTTTTTATTATTAACTGAATAATAGCTACTGGCTTAACTGCATTATGTGTGTGTGTGTGTGTATATATATGAAACAAATGAGTGAAGGCAATATTAATAAATATCTTATAGTGCAAGATAAACGCTATTAAAAATATTTTCAAATTTGAATAACTAATGTGAAATGACATGTCACGTCAATGTCAAAATATTTTTATACGAATTTCAAATGTGGCTCGCATTTCAGAAACTAAAAGAAAAACGTTTCTATTACCGTGACATATCGTTTTGCACGATACGAAGATAGTTTTAAATATGTAGCATCTGTAATCAAGACTATTCTCAGCTCCGCGCCGACAAATTATAGACTCGAGCAAAGCGTTCAGGAGGATTCTACTTACTCTCGTAGCAGAGACATCAATTTTATGTATCGGTGAGACGATATCGTAGGAGCGTCTCTTACTCCGTAGCGGTCCTTATATATAGGTGTATTAATTATTCCTATCGCGTAGATTCCGGTCTGGCTTGTATTCTAGCACGTTGCAGTTGCAGTTGTAATGCATCCGCGGTCGGTCGTTTCGAGAGAGCCGATATAGCGTAAACTCCGCTGCGGCTCACCGTTTAAGGGGCACGTCCCATTTGCGTGCCATTTACAAGGCCGTTTATAGCCTACTTTCTATGGGCTACGCGTATTTTAACATCACTAACATTGAATATCTTAAATTCGAGTTCGAGTTGTTGTTGCAAATTTTACTTTGTCCCCTGATTCACACTGCGAGAAAAGTATGTGATATTTGGAACTCTATAATTGTGGGACTATAATTATAATCAGAATACTCATTTTTATAGGAATTGTTACTAATGTTAGCAATATAGTCAACTATATAGTTAGAATACCTGTAAAATTATGACTGGCGCCAAAAAAACACTGTAGATTATGGTTATTGCAATTATTCTATCCTCTCAGTGCACTATATTCTACTTCTGTTTGCTTTATATCTCCATTAAAAATTTACGTTCTTTTTTATTACAGTCGATAAATGAGAGATCAGATCGCGCATAACTAAAATAAACAAAGAGTAAATAGTTATGAACAGGCATACGCGAGATAGCTCGCTCTGCCGCAACCCTGAAATTCTAATATGTTTCACCGGCCGCAGGGATGCTCCGAGTTTCGACCTCTACTGTTACAATTATGGACATCAGATACTACGCTTTATATGATTAACGTGAAATAACAAATGCCTGGTTAGAAATTCTAATCGTGGCACTGCCGGTAACACAAATCAAAGCAAAGGCCAATGCTGATGTCCAGCTCGGAGCTACAGTCCGTTTCTGTGTATAGAGCATATTAGCGTTTGTGTCATATCTACTCCGCTTGTGCACGGTGTTTAGACCGCACTCGGTTTTCGGTGCAGAGAGAGAGAGTGAGAGAGAGAGGGAAAGAGAAAGGGAGAGATATGCCTGGTATCGCGCGAATATTCATATTTCAACGCGGACCCGCGTTGCTCTCTGGGATGACGACGGTCAGCATGTTTGGACGATCCAACGTATCATGTATCGTTCTCTACACGATTCTATAATCCGCACAGTGATACAGACACCGTTCTAACGCGAATAGCGAATTAGGCTACATATTGATTGCGAGGCGTAAGAAAAAATAAAAATTTCTGTATCGTGACTTTTTTAATTTCCGCGAGAAACATTTTCAAATAAATTATCTTTAATAACTTCAAAACTGGAAAATGGATTTTTGCAAAATAATATATACAAAGAAATACTTACTAAAAAATTATAAGTGACAATAGCACACAAATTAAAAGAGAAAAATATTAAAGGTAATGAAGCTAAAAATAAAACTAAAAGAAAATTTCGAAGATAATTTGAAGATAAATTGCAATAGAGCTGATAAAAATAGCAGTATTAAAGGATTATAGCGTGTGAAAGAAAAGAGCGCACGAAATTGAATATAAATGATCGCTGGTTGAACTATCAAGCTCAATCTCTTCTACGTATTTTACAAGAGATGACGGTGAATATGAAAACAGATATATCAACCTGTCCGGAGAGAGAAGAAGAGAGAGAGATCAGTTTTCTGACCATCTTAGTTCTTTCAAAAGAGAGCGCTTTGCGATAATAGCATATCAATTTTTTTCCCGAAAGAAGAGAAAAATGATCACGCAAATTGAGAAAAATATTCAATAATAAATGTTATCAAAGTAAGGGTCTTCTGTAATTTATAAAATTGAAATATATGCACTATTAACAATAGTATTATATTATATTGCTCATATATTATTAACGTTAAGACGCCAGAATGAATCTGTAATTACAGATGAAACTTTACAACGCGAATATAATGGAGAATGAGAACCACTAATCCATCCAAATGTACAGAACTCAAAACAGAACAGGATGCAAACGTAGATACTGAATTACATAATGCTCCAGGCGAGCAGTGTCGATGCAGCATTATTATCTTTAGCGTGTCTATCATCATACACGGTAATATACTCGCATGTCGAATTTAAGACCCTTGTTTCTCAAACAACCCGGTCGAGATTCTAGCTACGGGCGTGATCTCTCTTGGACGCGCGCCGACGTTCGTATTTCACCGTTAACCCGATGTTCGACGATGGCGACGATCCACGTGCATCTCTACGACGCGACTCGACGTGAGGAACGCGGATACGACGGAGGGTAGGAGAGCAGAAAGCGGAACTGCTTCAGTCCAGATTTAACGCTTGCATTTACATTTAGAGAAGGGCCGTTGTTTACTAATCGGATCCGGAAAATGGCGCTCCCGGCCCGTGAGATTCGTTCTTAGTGCTGTAAACATGTTCCAATGACCATCGGATAGTTTCGGCCACAGTAGAGCTTAGCGCAACCACTGCATGTGGACTCATGCATCATGATGAGTAAGCCGTAGACACGACGTCTTTTTTTCCGAATTTACTCGCCGCGCCGAGTTGAAGAGGAGAGTTATGGAAATTTTAGGAAAATGAGCATTAATGATAACATTCTGAAATCACAAATATATAGACTGTGTGAGAAAGAAAAGCACTATCAATGTGTTTATAGTACTTGTAACAATAGAATTAAAAACATATTTTTTTCGATACTATCGTTTTGAAAATTGTGTATAGTATAAAAAAATTCGTGATAGTGAATATTAAAAAAAGCATGAAATGCGGAAAACAGGTTCCGTGCGGACGCAATGAAATACGCGTTTGTTTTCCTGCTTTTCAACCGGAACAGAAATATCTGGATGTGACTAAAGTTAACTATTTCACCGTGTGTATTTCCATTGTATGTGCAGCAACATAAAAAGCTCTTGTTTCAGCGAAAATATCATATGTAACGATGGCACAAGTTGTTGAATTTAAATCGCAACTTTCTTCAATAACATTGTTCATAATTCTTCACACCACAATGATTTTTATCTATATCAATTATTGTTTTGCTCTTCCTGTTGCAGCTTCTGGTGGGCAATAATAATCCGTACACGGAAAAGGAGCAGATCTTCGATCCAGCTGTAATCGCAACGAAAATCCGCTTCATCCCCTACACCTCTCATATGCGCATAGTGTGTATGCGCGTGGAGCTTTATGGCTGTCCATGGACGGGTGAGTGAAATATAGGCAAACTCCTTTTTTTATCATGTTTCTCGATCATGTATTTATTTGCAAGCAGTTTGCTGTCCACCGCGCTTACAAGCGGCGAAAATATAGTCCGATCGACATATTTCAATTCATAATGTTTGCCATGCATGTTTTTATCACGACGTTAACTGCTCGTAATAAATGAAAAAATATTTCAGCATGACCTAAAAATTTTTATCGCTAACGTGTTGAAAAATAACGATATAATATATAAAAATGTTCGACATATAAAGATATAATTTAATATCCTTTATCAAATGAGAGAGCCATTGTTGCGCGCGCGTCAATAGTTATTGTGTTTAATAAATTTTGTACTGTACGAGAAAAATAAATGGAGCCAATTATGTACAATTTCATCAGCAGCTATCGTTGTCATTTGTGGAAACAAAATTGAGAACAAGCGGTATAAATTCTATTGGAATCGCTTGCGTGTTATCATACATTTTATATTTTATATTTCCTCAGCGACACAATCCAATTTTTCGAAATTTTTTAACAAGAAACCACAGCTACCATAAAATCCACAGTTCTTAGATTTATGATTGATATAAAAAAAATATATAAAAAAAAAGATACAATGGAAATGTATTTTATTCAGTATCAATGCTCCAATAACTTAAGCCGTAAACGTGACTTCAATTTCCATATTTATTTCCATTCGCAAAATCTCTAGAGTTATTAGAGTGAGAAACTTTTTATTATTTTATCAGCGTTATATAATATTTATACATCAAAATATGTATATATTTTTCTTTATACGCGCGACATACGCACTAGAATGCAATAATTAAGCTGCGCTTTGTTCGCCAGTAGACTTCAAACACGAATTTTGTGAATCGCCAATCTTTGCTGGCTGCTTGACGAGACGCCGATGTAACGCGTCAGTCGCTCGAATCTGAGATTAACTTAGATTTACGATCACCGCGGCCCGTGAGCCACAGCTGCGTCTACATTAATCCAACCTCGACGAACTACGCGGCATCCGCTAACTGTGCCATCTGCATGGCTCCGACCATCGTTATATCGTTTAAACGCACAATTACAGCGGCTGCCAATAATATTGACTTGCAAAATAAATTGTGACTTGGCATTAGCAAGCGTTTCGACCATTACCGAGCAAGGGCTGTAACCGCGCAAATGGTAGGAGAAAAATATGCAGGAATGTAAAAAGGAACATATGAAGTTACGCATTCGATAATTATCGCAGAAACCTTTATCATAATTTTCATCAACAATAATGAAACTGCAATAAGTTGTTACGGCGAATCCCCCCCGGTAAACATTTCATTATTCGCAGTCTCACCGATGGAAAAAAAAACTGTGCAAGTTGTATCGATTTTTTTTTTATTCCATTGGCGTATTAATCAAAGCGGACTTTTCCCAGCTGTTTCGAGTAAACATTGCAAAATGCGAGAGAAGCGTATCTCCGCGCATATTTCATCGTATAATCTGCGAAAACAATTTACCGCCGTCGCGGACAGAAAAATACTCGATTGATATGAGCGGATGGCGGGACATTTCCCTTCCAAGTACCGAACCGTGTAACTCATTCGTGTTTATTGACGTCTGACAGTCTCGGAGCACATTTGGTTCTGACATAAGTCGCTCGCTCCGGCGCATTTTTAACGAATGCCGCGCGACGTGGCGAGAATTGACTTCGGGATCGGCGAGTTTCGCATCAAAACACGTCTAGTCTACTATCGGTATTGCAACCCGCCTTAAATCGATTCCGGTAATCCAACGCGCGCCAAGATTAAAAATGTTGACTCTCGTTACTTTTCCCCGACGACGTGCGCTTTACCCGTAACCGTCCGCAATCTTATCACGTACTGTCGGGTGGTAACGCTCACAGCCCGACCACGTAGCAGCGTGATGATGCATAGTTCAGGAGTTTATATATTCTTTATATCCGGGCCGCTCCTTTCTGTTCTTCCAGAGGGTCTCGTCTCGTATTCCATGCCCCAAGGAATCAAGAGGGGCTCCGAGGTTGACCTTTCCGACAGGACGTACGACGGCCGCGAAGAAGGAGGTTACCTCTCCGGGGGACTTGGTCAACTTGTCGACGGGCAAAAGGGTCCCGACAACTTCAGATTGGACGTCAGCGGCAACGGAAAGGGTAAGGCACGAATGTACTTCGTGCTGGAACAAGATTAGCGCCGGCGCTAGATCGTGTCTAGATTAGCGTGATAGAGCCGTATCCGCGTGCGCGCGCCCGTGCGAGCTGCTGCCCTATCCGTCGCTCTCGTCTAGTCTTCTTATTCTATCGGTATCTCACGCTATCTTACTTGTTAACTTCTTTCTTCAAACTAAATAGCAGTCCGAAAGCCCCGGCAGACTGCGTCTTGTAATTCTGTAACGCGAGCCCTTCCAGCGATTACGCTCTTGTTTTAACTCGCTTTACACTCTTATTAATGCCGAGGAGGCAGCGAAACAAGTGCGCGCGCGTACGGGGCATTTTAAATAACATCAAAACTGCACCATCGGCGTTCCGCATATGTGTATTGTGCGTGAAATATATTCCTCGTAACGTAACACGTCTAAACACATGAGTGTACGGCGAAAATTCTGTTAAAATACCGCGGATAGTATCCGCTTTAGAATGGACACATCCGTTCGGTTATTTAATGAATTTTCAATTTGCGCGTATTTCCCTCTTGATTTCACGCATCAAAGCGCATATTTCTTTTACAATCATTTTTTTTGGGGGGGAAAAATAATTATTTTCTGGTCTGCTTGGGCAGTACATTTGACCAATCCGGAACAATTTTTCTATTTAATGAAACAAAGATTAATGCACGTAGCGTCAACTGGAAGTAACATCGTGCGCTGCTAATATTCAAACTCACGGATCTCATTGACGGAGCTAAATGACCGTCAAAATTTAATTGCGAAGGATATGCTCATGTAGGGAAATGGTTTTTCGATCGATTAACCAGATAGAATATTCGTCGCCGCCGATGCGAGATGCGTCCGTTTACCGAGGCCGCGTATGCCAAAAATGAAAATGAAATTTTCCGTCGATCGACTTCAAGTGTGCATGTGTGTGAACGGAAAAGTCGAGAGGGTCAGTGGTATCCAGAAAAGCCGGGGGGAGGAGTAGGAGGAGGAGGAGAGAGAGAGAGAGCCTCGGTTCCGGAGCCAAACGTGTTCCACGGCGCCGCTCGAATCTGTTCCAATTTACATTTATATTGAACCGCGAGCTAGGCTGCAACCAGTCGCCGCTGTTTACCCGCTTTCTGGATACATTTGTGTCTTTCCATTTACGCCATGGGACACCGCCGTCCGCGTACGCTCAAGTACGCCGTCGTACTTCTACCTTCTTAAACTTTTAAACCCGGCAAAACTGAGTACAACCTCTCTCGATTCTCTTTAAACCGGGAAACATCGTCGTCCGACATTTGTGCAGTCGAAACACGACTTCTTCGCTCGCGGTCGATATTCACACTGACGCCTTCGCTCGGGAAGCTTTTAACAATACAGAAATATTCCGTTAAAAAATCGTACAAGCAATGAGAGAAATATATAATATGCAAAATAATTATTGATTAATTATTAATAATGCAAATTATTTATTTATTATCAATTATATAACGTTTTTAACTTATGCAGCATTATTACGCGATAATGAATATTTATTAATTTGCGAACTCTTTCCGGAACTTTCGAAAACATTATAGAGAGAGAGAGAGAGAGAGAGAGAGAGAGAGAGAGAGAGGGAGAGAGAGAGCTTTTTAACGCTGTAGGAAACTTACGTACTATAATTACGTACACCATCCGAAACAACATAGCGTTCTTAGAACAAACTTTCGCTTTGTTTAATAAAATATCGATTGAACGTTTTCAGCGGTTGACAACTCGCCGTAGTTATCCTTGGCTCTAGTTTGTGAGCATTTTATGCCCGTAACTGTATAGTTCTGAAATGCTTTAAAGAGGAAAATCATCAACCGACGGAGGTGCAGGGTAGTACGATGTACCCACCCAGGATGGTTATCTTACGATCCTCGTGAAGGTTCAGAATTGATGGTAGATAGCGGCCGAAGGCGGCGACGACAGGAAACTGGAAACTATTTACCCGTGGGACGATATTAAGGGTGGAAAGGGACGAAGTTGGGGGATGAGGGGGCTATATGAAAGCGGATAGGTCAGGGCGATATAACGCCACTACGCGGACCCGGTATATTGTTGAAAACGGAAGGGACGATCGTCGCACAGGAATCCAAACACAAAATCTCTCTCTCTCTCTCTCTTTTTCTCTCTCCCTGTCCTTCTCTCTTTTCCTCTCGCGTGCAGGCGCACAATGTAAACAATCACCGCGCGCAATTGAAATTCTCGTAAGTTTTAATAACTCTAAGGTTCTTACGCCGCTCTACGCCAGCAAACCCGCGATTTTCTCCCGGCGATGTCGGAACACAGGAGCGGCGACACCGGGGACTCGACGCCGGGGAACACCCGCGTTTTTCTTCCCCCCCCCCCTCCCCCTCGGCGCGTGCACTCTCCACTTTTCGCGGATTTTGTCGAGAAGCTGAGATAAAGGTGCAGAGAAATTTATAGCGTAAAAGAACGGATCTCTCTAAGGCACCTGAGCGTACGATCTGTATATCAACATCTCGCAATATGCAGAAAAAAAAAAGATCAAGGTGCGAGAGGAGAAATGTAAATACGAGCGAAAAGATTCAGGAATTTTATTTGCGAATGCGCCGTAACATTTTTACAAAGCGTTCAAATTTGCCGAAGGCCACAAAACCTTTGTTAATAAAATTCAATAACAAATGTTCTAAAATTTTTCGAAAACTAAAATAGTAAATATTCAAGGATGCAAAAATTCAATTATCGTGCCATAGTGCATTCTTCTCGCAATAACGCGAGCTGTTCAAATACTCGTTTTTTTTTTTTTTTTTCCGCCCGTTCTTTTGTTATTAATTCTGGGAAGTGCAACGCAATAAATGATGGTAATCTGTGTTTGTGTGATGTTGTGCAGCGTTCAAATGGAAAAGCACGGGCGGAGTTAGAGATTTCGGTCAATGTTGAAAGTAACAGGAGCGTTTCTGAGAAACGCATAACACGCCGCGCTGGCCAGGCTTTAGGGTTATTGCAGTCCATTTTCAATCCGCATATTCCCGCGGGACACGTGTGTTTCCACATGTACTCATATAGTGGGATCTAATGGCGAGACTCGCGCAATAACCTGCCACCGTTGCTGCACCATAGCTCGAAACTCTTCGCGTACTATGTTTCTCACGCTACCATACACCAAGCGGAACATTTTCGGGAGAAATGAAGCGAGAGGAATAGAAAGCGCGAAAACAAACTCGAAACGTAATTAACGTTTCGAGGAAGCATACGAGTCCCGCGTAAAAGCTCAACTTGTGAATCTGAAATGGGTAATTTGAATCCTATTCGCGCGAACATTCGTGCGATTTTCGGCAATTAAGCGGAGAAAAATGTCGTTAAATCTCTGAAAACTGTGAAGGTCACGTGCTTGCAAATTATTCAAGTTATCGAATTATTAAGTTATCTTCGTTATGAAAGACAGCGGCACAGCGCGGTACCCTCCGTTCGTCGAAGACTTTAAGTTATACGAAACTTCTTTTCGCATTACCTCATTGAAAATCAGACTTTATTAAATTTTAATGAAAAAATAAATTTTTTCTTTTTGCTCTTTTTTTTATTATTTTCCGCTCTTTAGTTATTATTATTTATAATCAATTTATCTTTAATCAGAAGTCCACTAAATTGCAGTCTTTAAAAACTCTTACGCCTCTCATCATTATATCGTTAACACAGGATCTTTGACACATATCCGACACGATAGAGTTAGATATTTGTTTATTTCATGCACACCGTTTCCCTTTTACACTATGTTCAAATAAATTCGATGTCACGCACGAATTGTGTACACGTTACAGATTTTATTGTATTGTTTATAGATGCGTGCACTGCATTTATAAACGGTCTATCGCATTATACTCGCATCGTGTAAACTCTCTTTTTATACATGGATTGAAATTTTTTTATGATAAAATACATTGTTTTTACAGGAAATGTTTTTCATATGTAAAGGTAAATTTAAAACAACATATGCAAACCTCCAATTATCAAAAAATAGCAATGATCTAACGTGTAGAAATTTGCATATATATTAAATGCGTTGGAAGTTTATAAGCGCACTTTACATCAATTTGAACAAGTTATTTACTTTTAATGAACTCTACGCTCGGAAGACATCGATTTTCGAATTGGTAAAAAAATTCGCCTGCAACTTTTCACGAATAACTTAATTCAGTAGTCGCGTCGGGGATTACATTATCTCATTAGATTAAAGGCTGTAGCGAGAATGCATTTTGTACTGCAGTAAGCCGGCGGCGACACGCACGACTCCATGTCTTTTATCCAGGATTCTGAGCGGTATTGTAACGGATAATCCGTTTGTTCAAGGATACGAATGGGTCGGCTGGCGGAACGACACGCCCAACATGCTCGGACGTCCGGTGGAAATAACTTTCGAGTTCGACTACTCGAGGAACTTCACTGCCATACACCTACACATGAACAATTACTTCACCAAGGACGTGCAGGTATCGCCTCACGCGCCGTTACCGGTATTATTTCGGAAGTTACGAGCTTCGCGAACTACCGTAAATTTCACGATCACACATTTGGCGACGCCTCTGCGCTTTTAAGCGGTTTTAAAAACATTTCCGCGCGATTTACAACGCGGCGATTCTTAGCAAGAGCTTCGAACCGCCGCCTGCTCGCAAGCTTAGTATTTTCATCGACGGCAAAGTTTCGACGCTGCGCGCTCTCTCGCCGGATTACTTTCATCCCCGCGTTTTATCTCCGTAAAACGTAGTGCTCGAATATATTGCTTTCATTGCTATAAAATGATACTTTATATATATACTTTACAAGCGGTATAAATGTTCGTCTTACGAAAGTCTCAAATGAAGAAGCTTTTCGATTACACGCGACTGTTTCCACCTCGTTCACTCGTTTCGTTACCAGACTAGGCAGTAGGCACGTATACGATCTCTTTGCTGCTTTTGCAGGTCTTCTCGTACGCGAAGGTCTACCTCGGTACGGGCGGCAACCAGTTCACTGGCGAGCCTGTCCATTTCTCTTACATACCCGATCAAGTGCTGGAGCAGGCGCGCGAAGTCACCATAAAGCTGCACTCGCGCGCCGGTCGCTTCCTAAAGCTGCAGCTCTACTTTGCGGCGCGGTGGATCATGCTCAGCGAGGTAATCTTCGAATCAGGTAAGAGAAAGATCAATCCGTCCCTCTTTCACGTGCCAGTCCCCGCGCAATCGAGATTTATCTCTTGCGACATTACTTTAACATTCGCGCGCGTTTCCCGCTTTACTCGAGACGCCCGAAAGAGTAACGGCGAAGTTAAGTCCTCGTCTAGGATTCGCCTCTTCGTTTTCTGACTCTCATGCGTTTATAGACGCGCTTTTAGTTAAACGGAAAATCAAAGTAGGCGGTCCAGAAAATTGAAATCTCGAAATAGAGCAGTTTCAAAGTGTCTCTTACCTCGGGCGCGCGATTCGACACGATTTCCAATTTTAAGTGACATACTTTCAACGAAGGTACGAGCATGAGAATACTATGGAAGATGAAAAAGATTGTCCCGACGTCCGTGCGCGCGAAGCTCGAAGAGAGAAATTATTTCGAAAATAGTGTAATATCGAGAAACAAGCGGCAGACATGTACAACTATGAAAAATATGAATTTTAAAATGCTAATCCTACTAAATTTTAAAGTATAAAATTCCAAAGTCCAATAATGAGTAAAATGTACATTTTAATATTCTAGGCCATTTTTAAAATTCTAGACCCATAAAATTTCATTCTCTTTTAATATACGAATTTTTTATTGACTTCTGAACATGGAATATTGATACGAAAAAATACTTAATATAAATTAATTTTAAAAATTCAAGAAAAGTGTCTAATAATAATTAAAACTGATTTTCATTATTGCTCAATATATGAATGTATTGTTGTGTAATTGTGTTGCGTTAAATTAAAAACAAACATTTTTTTTACCAATTTCCTTCTTTTACTATACAATTTCTAACAAAATAAACGCAACATAATTTCACCGTCGGAATTAAAAGAACTAGGCAATAATAAACAAAACAGACGGTGTGAAACATTTAAAGTTCCTGGAATCGTTTAGTCCTATACTGTTGTTCGTTCGACTTTAAAGCACTGCGGAAGGTAAAAAGCAGAAGAATCCATGGCACGTTCTGCGAATGAGAGCACGTGGTCGCGAACCGAAAACGAAACTTACTTAGCACTCGAGCACACATCCTCAAAAAGTTTTGTTTCGAAAAGCCGGAACAGCCAGACGAGCGAAGCTGTCGTTAATCATTCTCTCTCTCTGTGTGTTTTCTTAGTTTTCGCGAAAGATAACTTCGGTACCGTAACGCCGAAGCGGCTGATCTTCTTTGTCATCTTCGTAGCAAGTAGTACATAAAACTCGCACGTATTTCACTTTGACACTTATTACGAAAATAAAATTGCACGTAACACGTCACTTGTGTCTTTTTTAAACTGCTAAGTTACTTTACATTTCTATTAAATGTCAAAAGCTACGTCAGCTTATCAAAAACAATACAATTTGCTCCATGCTAGCGGATCCTGATGTCGATAAGGGGGGGGGGTTGACCTACTTTAACGTTATATTTACTAGTATTTAACGTATTACTAGTACGTAAATTAGTTAATTTTTTAACGTTAGGTTAAACCGGGGTTTAACCCCCCCGTTACCCGTTAACCCGGTTTACCCGTTACCCGTAACGTTACGTACGTTTACGTACCGTTACCGTTACGTTTACGTTACGTTTACGTTTAACGTTAACGTTTAAACCGTTAAACTTTACGTTACTTTACCGTTTACCGTTACCGTTACCGTTAACGTTACGGTTACGTACGTTAACCGTTAACCGTTAACGTTTACGTTTACCGTTACGTTAACGTTTTTACGTTACGTTACGTTACGTTACGTACCGTTACGTACGTACGTTACCGTTACGTAACTACGTACGTTACCGTTAACCGTTACCCGTTACGGTTACGTTACGTACCTTCGGTACTACGTACGTACTAGTACTTACGACGTTACTACGTACGTACTTACGTTAGTACGTTTTAACTTAGTACGTTAACGTTACTTACTACTTACTAGTAACTAGTACGTAAAGTACCTTACGGTACGTAACGTACTTAAGTTACCTAAAACGTAACGTTACGTAAGTTTACGGTACTACCGTACGTAGTACGTAGTACGTAGTCGTAGTAGTAGTACGTAGTAACGGGGGGTTATACCTTACTTAACGTTAATAATTTTTACCAAGATTTAAACGGATTCAGCAAATTGATTTTACTGAGGGTACCCCCCCCCTCCCCACCGGTTTCCGCCAATGATTTGCTCATTATGTTATTATATTTAAACCGAAATTCTCTTCTTCGCGACAATGGTGCAACGACCGTTAATTGTTTTCGCATTTTTTTTCCATCGCTCTACCTTTCTATTCCAGAAACGATGGCTTTATTTGCTCGGATAGAAAATAACTCGAATCCCTATCGCGTAATCTATACGCGGAAAACACACAACGGAAAATACCGCGCCGTTCGCAACGCGACGCGATTGGAAAGTGCAATGAATTACATTGTATAAGAACGAGAAACTTTATTAAACATTTATAAGTTTGTATAGCTATTGCAGCTGCACTACAGCTTGTTTAAGAGGAATTTTAGATTCTTTAAATATAAATGCGAACAGCTATGAAAATTGTAATCCCTCCTCCGTAAACTTTTTTCACGAAGAGCCGTGAGAGTTCAAAAATCTCTTTTAGGAATTAAAAGCGTTTTTCACCGTAGTATAACTTAACAATCGACAAATTATACCGGCCACCGCTGTGAGATCGCACGTTCCTCGCTAGTCTCCCAAGTTTGATCAAGAAAATGGAGTTCCGCGGTCGCACAATGGCAGCGGCAAAACGCAACTGTTACAGCAGTTTATCCAATGACTAGTTTATCCGACGTCGGTGGAACCGCATATCGATCACCGATATTTCTTTTAATCCGTCTCAAACGATCCGAGACGGAACTTAGTTGCCGAGCGCCTGGCGATGCAGGCTTTCGAAAGTTCTGCGTCGCTTCGTTGCACCGGACCGGCCACGGGAGTGGGTACGTCGTTAATCATTCGACGTACTCCGGCGCACCCCCGTCCTCGACTGCGAGCGATAAGTTGGATCGGCCGGCCGGCCCAGAGGCGACCCAATGTTGCTCGTCACCTGTATACCACATAACTCGTATTCACGTCGTACAAACGCTTCGTTGAGCCGCGTCATCGATAGGAAAATATATCGCCCCTCTCCTTCCACATCCGGCTTTTCACCCCAGCACTGAGTTTTCCACCGAGCAAGCCGGGGCGGCGCGCCGCGTCCCCTCTTTCCAGCGAAAGCTTCGAGAGCAATTTCGGTCCCACTTCGATTAATTTTCCTTTTTATGAATTGCGCGTGCAAACCACCGCCGTCTAACCGCTCGAAAATTGGAATATTTTCTGGTGTCCATTAGTCGATAAACTGCCGCGGCACTAATTTTCAGTTTGCCTAACGAGAAATTCCAGCTGCGTGTGACACGAATTAAATTCTGGTCGCGATATTTGTTCGTTTTCGAACGGTCGATATCAACGGAAAACTATCCCGAATACAAATGAAACTCTCCGCGTCTACTTCGTGACCGCGAAGAACATTTGTGCAAATTCGATGATATCATTAAAGAACGGCACCGTTCAAAATTTAATTCGCTTTGGAGCATTGTACGTTTATCTGTACTACTTTCGCGATATCAAAAGTGAAAATCGCTTTTAATAACTACTATATTTTGTGAATTATCAACGATTAGCTGCATAATTGTAGAATTAAAAACATGTAAAATTGAAAGTTTAATTGACTTGATAATTTCAACAATGCTTTTTTTTTCGCTACAATTGTATGTAGGCGAGAAACTTTTTGCTCGAATATTTAATGTGCTAGACGAGCGTGGTTTTCATTAACTCTAATCCTGAATGTACAGTTATCTCCGAATGGAACAATACCGAGGACGAGGAGGCGAAGAACAAGAGTGCCATTGTACAGGCAACCGGCAGCCCTTATCAGAATAACGAGGGTCCACTGCAACAAGACGAAGTGAAGGCTACTTTTAATAAGGAGGAAAGCAAAGATAACACCTGTAAGTCTACTGTCCGATTTTTCCATTGTTATTCCGCTAAACTACGTTCATAATTTTCCGCGTAATTGACGTTCTTTTCACCAAACTTTTGTCCCTGTCGTCCTTTACAGCGAAATGAGCTCGATGTATCACGAGGGAATTTATATGTCGACAAAAAGAATTATCACGCGATAACCATTGGCGATTTATATTGCAAAGTTATATTTTGCCAACTTAGGTAAAATGGTATAATTTTTCAATAATATCAGTTACAATAATTGTTAAACAATTAAGTTAGAAAATTCGATATTAATTTTAATCGACAGAAATAGCAATAAATTTACATTTACAATAAAGAAAATGTTAAAACTGTTTGATTCTTTAACCAAATAATTTTGATAAATTATGAATGCATTACGCGTTGCAGACAATTCGCATTCTCTCTTAGATTCGTGCGAGGCATCACAATCGCGCCAAGTCAAAAAGGCAATAGCTTGCATCTCTAGAGAAATCTTCTCCCTGATACGCGACATCGTTACGCCAGAATTAATGGAAAAATGGCGACTGTGAGGCCAGAAAACCCTGTGAAATCGAAAGAACTGTGCGAAAAAGTACATCGAGTAGTACAGGAACGTCCTCGAGATTCCTCGATTACCCGCGAAAGAAGCATCATAGAAGAAAAAGAGCGATCACTCTTGTCGCTTGCTCTTGCTGAGTTTGTTAACCAATAGCATAGTACTTTTTTATCCTCATAATGGCAAATAAAAGCCGCGCAATTAACCTGATTAATTCCTTAACTCTCTTCTTCTTTGACTTATTCGAGACGTCGTATCGAGATACCGTTGAAAAGAAACAGGATCCATTAACGGAACAACTTTTCATGCTAATTGATTACACTCGATATTCCCGAAAGCGAGATCGATGGCGGACCAATTTGCATTTCTCTCGGCCGTGACCGTTCCGCGACATTCTCGTGCTGCACAGCGCAAAATTTTCAATCACACAATGACGAGATGTCGGACTCGCTGAAATTTCTTCGTAACTGTTACCAGCTTCGAGCTCGCGTGCCTATTCAACGCACGTCTGCATTCACGTGTACAACTATTCGAGTGCTGTATACTTGGCGTGTTTGCTTGCTAAACTCACCGAAAGAAAAGCGTAAGAAAGCGGGGGGCATTTGTATTTTGTCGCTTGAAGCACGATGTACCAACACTCGTTGCATATGCCGTGCAGAAAGCTACGAATGTACGCCGACACTGGTAATAATCCGCGAATCGGCGGAGCGGAAGTAGAGCTCGCGGCATACTGAAAAGAATAATGTTATGCTTTTTCACCCACTGACCCTCTGTTCGCGTACAACATTATGTCAAAACTATACTATGAATTGAAATTTTGCGATCGTAGATGTCCGACGACACGAGGGGACAAAAAGAATGTAATTTATTTCAAAAAATTCATCTTTGATTCCGATCTCTGTGTGCATAAATCATTTTCTCCGATAAAAAAATGTCAAGATAAATCTCTGCGTTATATTAGTAATTATTTTTTTTTATTTCTCAGCCGATGATTTTATATCGTGGAATTTATCGCCATGAAAAATCTTAACGTCTTATTAGATCGCCCGTCTCTCTTTATTGATTTATAAAATACTCAAGCCATGATCAAGCCGCTGCGGTGGACTACGAAAGCCATCAGCGAATATTGTTTTTGTTCAGCCGGGCACTGATCAACCGTGATCTAGTTACAAGCTTCATGATGAACGCAATCATCATTATCGTTCCATCGTTCATTATGCGAGGTTACCTCGGCGGTATTATCCACGGTGATAGGTCGTGTTGCTTGATGCATCAAGCGTCATGGGCGAGTGATCCCGCTATCGCGTACACGCGCGAATCAGCTGTCTGTCGCGACGTCGAAATATTATTAATGGAAATTCTTTTGTTCTCAGTACAGTTACGTTATTATCTGTATTCTACTGTTCGATTCAAAGCGCAGTCAATAGCCGCGATTATTCGAAAATTCACCAATTGTAATAGTACTATTGTAAGTGAGATTAATTGTTCGATCAATTAAAGACTCTTTTATTGGAAAACTATGTGCTTGGACCATTAATAACAAAATTTATCAATTAACTTTTTTAAAAGAGACAAAAAAGAAAGCGAAGTAAAGGAAAAATAAAAATGTCTTGGAAATAAAAGGTGCTATATAATCGGGTTTACGCAATTGTGCGCCATTGATCATGAAAGTGGTTTAATTGTAAGTCAAAAATAAAAAAAAAATTGATTTTATCACTTATTTTGCGTTATATCGATCTATAAAATCGAAATGTTAATTAACAGAAAACAGAAATTTCGCTAAATAATTATTAAATTGCAAAAAACTGACCTGGACTATTGGTCCATGTCCATGGTCTGTGTCGATTAATTAATGCAAATTACCTTTGGAGCGGAATGTAACCCAGTGACAATGTACAAGATCACTGAGCTTGCGGTGTAACCGTTAATCGTTAAGCTAATCGATTCCCTCCGTATCCTCGAACGTGACGGGTGCATCTGTTATATATATATACATATATATATATATAATCAGTCGCGCATACGTAGACAATATGCACACACATATTCTGTACACATATATCCACTTCTCAGTTCCAGATAAGAGCAAGGAACCGGAATCGAAGCAATTCGTCGGGCTGGTGATCGGCATTCTGACGACCGTGATTGTGATGCTGCTCGCAGCGATCACGTTCATCTTCTACAGGAACCGTAGACTCAAGGCTGCTCTCGTACCGTCAACCTTCTACGATCAACAGGGTGATCTCAAGGTCACTATAAAGATACAGCTATTGCATAATTTTTCAGTGTCGTAATATAATTAAGTCATCAAGTCTTCCTATTTATCTACATATGTATATGTCCAAATTTATTTTAAAATCATCTTTTCATGTAAAGTAAAAAAAATAACCGTAAATTGGAACTATATTATGACACACGGCATTTCTTTTTTTAATTGCCTATCGCACTGAGATGATGAGATCAACTGACATCTTGTCAAAATTTTGATACAATGAATTGATGTATAATTTCCGAATAAATAAATAAAAACGTAAGAAATAAAAGTAACAAGTAACAAAGGAAAAAGAAATACTGTGTCATAAAGCTACCCGCAATTGTCACAGAGCTGTACCAAACGTGAAATATTACTGTTCGATGTAATGTACAACACAACTCCGCCTCTCCCAAATCATAACGCGTCATCAAGCACGAGAACGAAAATTGAGAGCAATCAAAGAACCGGACGGTGAATGACCTCTCGTGCGACGGTGCGCATTATCTCGATGCTTTCAATTTGACGGTAAATGACGACGATTCTGTACCTTGGTCGCGATTTTTCTTTGCGCGTCTCCCGACCTGGTTTAACGCCGTAGTCTCGCCTCCGGCTCTAATAAACCGAACAGGTACATCTATTTACTCTACGCTTCCAGGTCACTCTACGGCGCTTTTGAGCAATCGCGCAAAACAGCTTATACCTACCTATTACGTACATCGGTTTAGATACGAGCGCGCGTAACTAGAGGAGAAAACGTGGCGATCAAATATTTTCTTTAAGACGGGGACGCAAACGAGATCGCGCTAGGACGATTAAAGGAACGCCCTGAGATTGTTCGTTACGCGCTCTTATCCATGAATTTTATGCAATCCCGCGTCGGCGTGTGCTTAACAATTTATACGAATTAATTACTTATTTCACGTTAACAATTACGACAATTACGTCTGCAGTAATGATAATTAACAATGAAGCGGCTTGATTGCAGCGATAAATAAACTCTACATGCACGACGGATGTTAGTTTGTTTTTCACGTTGTAGTACGATGCGCGTAAGATGAGTAGGAAAAATAACGAGAAATATCTTGCGAGACACGGACGACGATATTTTTCTCCGACGTCGCATTCCGCCGCGATGTTCTCCCGCTGAAAACGCTTTCCGGCAAAAGAGACGTTTCGGCCTCGCACCTCGTTCTAACGCGGAATGTCTAACTTTGTCGTAAATTCCGCTCCGACTCCTGTCCTACGGAACAACACGAATTATTAACGTCGCCCTCGCCCTCGTCGGCGGACAGTTTGCGCCACTTTCACGATGTACAGTCTATAATATTACGCCCTTAGCTCTTTATCCATAAACAATAGCGACTCACTGCATGAAAATAGCTTCATTTCGCATAAAGAGAAATTAATTGTCGACCTTTCCGCACCCGCGCGCTCAAGATAACATCGAAATTTGCAAAGAGGAAACGCTAAAGACAGAAAAATCGATGGGCGAAGCGTGCACACGTACGCGCACCTTTCATTACTTGATTAGCGCGCTGCTATCTAAGATACGAAATCAGACCGACGATTTGCGATAGTCGGTGAAAAGTAACAAGGTAAGAAGTGAACTCCGCGGGAAATAATGTCTGTAGATGAGAATGCGGTCGGAGATGAGAGAGCGAGGATGAGGAATAAAACGTTAAGAGGGAATTCAGCGTGTTACGCAAAAAGTTAATGCCTGGGCCGAGCGAAAAAGGCAGACGGAGGGAAAAGAAGGAAACTTTGAGAACTTGGCGTATGTTTACCAAGTCACTGTTGTTCTAACCGGATTAATAGCAAAGTGAAGTTTGCTCGCTAGAAATGGACAGCTCCGGCTGCTTTCCCATCTTTTTTCGCGGGATATAACGGAAGACAGTAATTAACGACTTGCTGAACGATGAGAAATAATGAGTGCCAGACAGTTGAGCTTGCAAACCCTCGAAGCTTTCCTAACTTAACTGTTTGCACGGGCGGAGAGAAGGAGGCGACTAGAGAAACGTACGGAACGCCAGTTGACGATTAATAACGACGCTAACAACCTATCGAAACAAATTGAGGACTTGCACAGCGGCGACATTAGCTATCAGGGACTAATTAGTCACGCGTAATGTTTTATTCAGCTTATTACGAAAATGATAAACGAAGTGAACAAAGATTCTGAGAACTGGCAAATTATCAAATTATTCAATATTAGACTTTGAAAGTGGATTTACCTTTATCATATTTGATACAATGATGTGCAAAAATAATTGGGATGCTAAATACGATCGACCGAAACAAGCGGTGCAAAATTAACTAAGCGTGTCCAATAATTTCTGGCTGCCAATAATATAGAGAACAAAGAGCAAAGCACGGTAATAATTTTCATCCGCCCGGCGAAGCACGAACAGACGCGCGCCAAGTCCTCTTACCATACATCATTCAAGGTATTCTTCGACAACCCAATATCCACACGGTTTTTCTTTTTTTTCCCCCTTTTTTTTACCAGCGACGGAAGAAAGTGCGCGGATACTCGAGCTGACTCCACTTAATTAAAAGAGCCACCGGGACAGCCCGTATTGCAACGTCGTAGTGGAGAAGATGTGCGTTATCTTCGTCGTTCGCCCGCCGCTAAGCGGCGTCATACACACTCCAAACGCCTTTTTCTCCTCGCCCATCCACGCCGGCTCTCCTCCCTCCTCCTCCTCCCCCTCCCCGCCGTTCCGCTGCTTCGCGTTCCCGGCATTAGCCACCTGCTACTTGTCCCGTCTTGAGAGGCTGGAACCTCGATTTTCCCCTCCTTGGACGGAATGACCCTATCGCCCTTCGTGCAACCTGCGACCCTCCTCGGATCTCCGGAATGGCGGACTACGTCTGCCAGGTAGAAACCGCTGTCAATTTATCGAGCAACACGGGTCACGAAGAACGGCGTTTTCGCTCGCGTACACCTGACTCAATTCGACAAAACGTCGAGCCAATAGCCGCCTTAACCATATAGAAAATGCCGACATTTTTCTCCGAGACAGCTGTTTTCCGACGTACGTCTCTGACTGCCATTAATTAAATAGTCGGCAATTTATTACGGCATAATTACTCATCGCATCTCGTTAGTTAAATACTGTGTTATCGTCTTTGCCATGGTTTAATTAATTAATCTCTCTATGACTGCGGAGCAGAACTTATTAATCATTGCAGTGCGTCACTATCGATCGCGTCAAAATTTCGAAAACGCTATTCCTCACGCGATACGTTGTTATTTGTCAGCATCAAATTTTGCCAAACCTCCGCGTTCAGTCGCAAAATCGATCTCTCTCCTCCGCCACCCGATTCTGCACAGTCGGGACAAAAATCGTTTACAAGGCTCCGACCGTCCATCGGACATTATGAATTGTGAAACCCAAATTTTGTTTCACCAATGATATCACATCGATTCACCAGATCCCATTTAAAACGATGACGAGACCTCTCTTATTTGACTCCGTGGCTCCATCGGTCCGCTTTAAAACGCTGAAGGGAAACTCCGTGGGATAGTATATCGCTTAAAGCTCCGCGAAGTGTTGTGCTCCTTTTTTTTTTTTGCCTCTTATCCGAGAATTTACGATGCAGCAAATTCTTGTTCCAGATTTCATTGCGTGAGATTATTCAATTTATGTAAGCATCCATCCGCGCGTTACAGGTCAAGCTACTTATGAAATTAGCAAATCAAATTATATACATTTTTGCTGCATCTGCATATTAATGTAAACGTATTGTAATACGTAAATTGCGGACGACACCGCCGCAGGGGCATGTATGCGGATCATATGCATTATCCCGCGACCGTGTCGAATAAACAGCGGCGCGTGGCGATTTCATTTAATTTCGTAAAATTTGTTATTGCCGAACAGTCGAATTCTGATGTGGCACCGCGAGCGCGCGTTCACGCGTGTCTGCGCTCGCACGAAAAGAGCACGGCGGCGAAACGGGGCTTGGCGGGAGTACCCCATACAAAAGTGAATGGTAATGCGATTACCGACTTTAGCCCGAGGGGGACCCGTGACGATACCGAGGGACAGTCGAGCGAAAACAGATTATTTTAATTTAAAGCAACAAACTCTCTCTGATTTTCATGCGCTCACATTCTAACCGCAAATTCGATGCGTATATGTATGTGCATTGTAACGGCCCGATAATTCGCGGATTAAACTATAGGAGATGGAGAGAGCGCGAGCGAGCGAGCGAGAGAGAGAGAGAGAGAGAGAGAGAGAGAGAGAGAGAGAGAGAGAGAGAGAGAGAGCATCGTTTAAACGGAATAATCAAGAAAAACCGGCGCTTCTGCTTAGAGATTTCGAAATTACTGTACATTTGTGTGGAAGTTTAAAAAGCTTCGCTATATAAGTTGAAAATACTGAAAAAACTCCTCGAACACACTAATTGTTTAAAATCCAAAGGGCGCGGCATTTTGCAACAACGAAGTTTTTGCCAAAGTGGAAAGAAAATGGGAGTGCGTTAATTAGAAGCAGGTCAGTGCTGTGAAAAATTAATAAAAAAACAAGTGAAATGCGCGGGAGACACTTTTGGACAGAGTTGGGAAATGTGCAAACAGCTGGACGGGTCGCGCAGCTTTTGCAGAAAAGAGGCGAAGATGTACTCATGGTAATGAAAATGGCAAAAAGCACTCCAGTGCTAATTAATGGAGGATCGTTTTGTGCTCCGGAATCTTCTCGCTAACACTTCAGAGATTTCGTCGAGTAACCCGTTTCACGATTTCGATTCTCGTTTCCGCTTCAGCGCCCAACACGCCCTTTTCACATCGCTGTTTGTATTTCCAGTGGCTGCGTTAATAAGCTTAACATTTTTATCGTACTAGTACAACACGCAAGTGAAAAAGATAGAACAAATAGTGAGCAGCGTTGCGCTCATAAATATAAATATATAACGGTATTGCATATCGCAAAGTTTCAGTTATCAGTTATTTTATGTTTTTTTTTCTTTTTTTTTTGCCGCGTTTTTTCCCGCGCAATAAAATTTAATCGCTTTAGCAGTGTACATGTTGCACGAATCGCGTGTACCGATGACGGGGAGTGCGAGATTCTTCTCTGTATCTGAAATTATATTTTACGTCCTATCTCACGAAGAGGCAAATTGACGGGAATCGGTACACGTAAATTATCAATAATCCACTCAATTTAAACGCACCTTTAATTCAGCCGCCTCGTTAAGAGATTACTCGACGCTATCGTTTGCCGATCTCGTAATCGCGGTTGAACTCGATATGCGATTAGTATGCGGGCAAACACGCAATATCTCTGAACAAATACGCCGCTTCGATAAATCCCGCGGAACGTGTGCACGTAAGCTCTCTCCTCTATCTATAGCGGCGGTAATTTATTTCGCGAGGCGATATTCCGTTTGGAATACCAAACTTATACTTAAGAGAAAAGATATCAAAGCATCCTCTCCCCAACCAGTGTCAGACAATGGTCGGACGACTGATACGTTGATAAAAGCATTCTACGGCCAATCGAACGTGTCCGGATTTGCGAAAAGAGTCACGGATACCGCGGGGTCCTTTTCTATGGTCGATTGATATACCACACGTGAAAAGGTGCTGGATTATTTCGCGACTCACGTTTGCGCCGAAAGGATATTCATTCGGTCGGGGAAAATCTTTTTCTCCGAGTAGCTTAATCGTCTCAATCGTCAGACAATTGACGATTCCATTAATTTGTATTATTAAATAAACACGAAAGAAAGTGCTGTATTAAACAATCTATATTTTCGAAAATATATTACAACTATATACACTATCAGTATCATACTGTATATTATAACTATATATTACAACTATAAATTCCATTAGGATTTATTTCCTTCAGCTTGTTTAAGCTGAATAATATAAAAAAAGTAATGAACAAATTGCCGATAGCAAGTTGTTTATTTTTAAAACAAATTTCCTATCGTTATTTTTTATCGTTAAAAATAAGCGAGTTATTTCAGATCGCTCCAGATATCGTTGGCTTGTTAACGATGCTTTCACAACATCATGTATTAATAAATTCTTAGTAGTCGCCCATCGTATTTCTCTCTCTCTCT